TATCTTAGTATTATAAGAGATTATCTAGCTAGTTCTCTAGTCGAAATATAGGTTAAAGCGTTATAACTATAGGTACCTAAGCATAAGATCATAGCTTTAGTTAGGTATAATATTAAATAAGATTCCTTAGTTCTTTCTTTTAATAAAAACCTTAAGGTAATTAATCTTATAGTTAATAAGTCTATTATTATAATTGAAAGGTATTCCTTCGAGGTTATATATTATATAGGGCTTATATTTATGCCTCTATAGTAGCTTAAGCTTATTTACTATTATTAGGTTAAAGTAATTCTATTTAGCTCTATTATCTACTAAAGTATTTAATTATTCTCCCTTAATTTATACTTTTAACTCTAGGTATTATTACTTATATTCTCTATTTATAGAGTATAAGGCCTTCCGGGGTAATTTATTCCCTTGCTTATCTATTTATTGCCTTATATTAGACGGGGTATCTAGTTTTTTAACCTATAGAGGGCATGGCTATAATAATTATATTTATATTCGCTCTTACTATATACTTTATAGTTATAGTTATTAATCTAATTATATAGATACTCTTAGTAGCTCCTTTCTTCTTAGGCTCCTAGGTCTTCCTATTCTTATTAGCTAATTTATTTCTATTAGTCTTTAATTTTATAAGTGACTTATTTTTATTTCTAAATAGCGTAGTAGAGGTTATTATTATATTATATATAGGCTACGCCGATAGATTTATATTAATAGAAAATTTAATATCTTTTTATCTTATACTATAAGTATAGGTTTTTATTAAGTTAATATAATAATACAATAAGAAAATAGTCTTACTTTTGTTTTTCTTTTTAGTAGGTCTCGCATTAATATTACTAGTAGGATATCTATGAGATACTAGTATATTCTTAGTATATTAGGTATATTCATATATTATCTCATGGGTTAAAAGGTACTTCTAGATATCTAGGGTTTTCCGCTAATTCTCTATAATAGGCATAGATATAGATTTCTTATTTATCGGCGGTATTTATATATTCTTATATTATCTAGATATATTATTCCTATATGCTATTTTAATATTAATTATTATCTTAATTATATAATTATAAATAGGGATCTTCCTTTTATAATTCTTTATTAGTTTTTTATATTCTTTCTCCTATTTATATAAGTTCCTCTTATTAATACTCCCAAGGGTTTATAGTATTTATAATTTATGCCTAGGTTAGACTATTACTTACTATTTTTATAATCTAGTTATTATATAGTAGTTTATTATATTAATCTACCTTTTATTATTTATAGATCTTATTATATTCTTATAATACCTCGACCTAGTATTAGAGGCATAAAGTATAACCGCATTATATAGGGTTATTCTATTAATAGTCCCTTTAATAGACTACGGTAGGTATCTAAGATTTGCTATTCTTATTATACCCTATGACCTATTTTTTATAATTAAACCCTTCTACGGCGGCTTCCTAGTAGTTAGTTTATTCCTAGGGGGTTAGGGGTAATAATACTTAGTTATCTTTTATCTTAGTAGACTTCTTACGTTAAGTAACCGCGATAGTTTTTATATTAAGGTCCTTATCTAATTTATTAATTAATTCCGGGAGTAGCTCCTATTCTAGTTATATCTTAATATAATCCATAAGGTTTATATAATTGAGTTTTTAGGGCTAGGTTATCTAGTATACTTAATCTTTCTTATTATTTTAGGCGACCTCGTTTTCTTTAGCTTATTCTTCTATAAGGTAGGCTTACTAATAGGGTATATTAATTTAGTCAGGTATAGCTCCTATCCGGTCATAGCCCGCTTATGCTATACTAAGTATCTTTATTATCCATAAAGCTATCTATGGTTTATTATTAGCTTATATAAATCTTACCTATTTTCTACCTTTAGGGAGTTACTATTATTATAGCTAATAGCGACTTTCCTTAATATTATACTATTTTTTATAGTAGATCTTCTTAATATAGTTTATCTTATAGTAATATTAGTATTTAAGTCTATAGTAATTATATTTCTTCTATTAGGTTACTCTAAGTTTTATAGGTCTTATATAGGTTCTATAGGATATATTATTTTATTGGTATCGCCCTTAGTTAGTATTAAACTAAGGTTTCTAATAGTTTTTTTTATTATTATAGGGATTCTAGAGCTTTTTCTAAGAGAATTATTAGTCATCGATCCTAATTACTTAGCTAATATAATTAACGAGGTTATTAGGCCGGTCTTCTTTATAGAGTTTAGCCTATACTTCCTTCTTAAGCCTATCGAAAAAAAAGGATATTAGGGGTTCTTAGTCCTAATTAAGCTTCGAGGCGAGCTAGAGGTATTTAGTGCTATATTCCGACGCGGAGTAAGTTTATTAAAGTACCTTAATTTCTTTTTTTACCTAAGCTTTTTTATTTATTATTCTAAAGGCTTATTAGAATATAGCTTTAAAGGCTTTAAAGCTAGAGTAAAGGTTTATAGTTTATAGCGAGTATTTATTAAGTAATTTAATAAGGTATTCCTTTATAATAGGTTTAAACTAGGCTATAATATACTTAGTGAGATATCCTATAGTATATTAGACCTTATTAGATACTATAATAAACTAAGTAAGGTAATAAAGCATAAATACGCATAGTTATATAAGGAATATTAGTAATTTATATATAATATTATTAAATTTCTCTAGTTATTTTAGCTTTAGGATTTCTCTAATATCCTTACCCTTTATAATAATAATCGCTATTTAGTTAATATTCTAGATATTCTCATAGTATTATTAATTTTAGACTTACTAAGTAGCGGCTATGCGGTTAATAAGTCCTCTAAGTTTCTCTATTTTAGTAGTTATAATAATAACCTAAGTATAGAGTTACTTGATTTCTTTATTATTACTATTTATTTCTTTATTACTATCGGGGTTAGCCTAGATTAATGCGATAGGGGTAAGTAGGTAATTAGTAAGTAAAACCTACTAGTAGTTATTACTAGGAGTAGCCTAAGTAGCTATTATATTTAATATTATTTAAGGTAATACGAGTAATTTAATAAATAAGAGCTATTAATATATAACGAGAGGATATTTCTTAAGGGATAAACCGGTTATATTGGTTTATATTAGCACTAGATAATATTATATAACCTTAAAGGGTAGTATAATATTACGTCTAGTAATATACTTAAGGGTATTAAGTATAACTAAGTTATATTAATAGCTAAGGTAGCTACTATATAAGAAAATATAATAAGTATATCTTATATACTTTATGTGGTTTAGGTGCCTCACGATTTAAACCATGAGGCTTACGATCTAAGGAGTAAGGCTCATATTTAGAATAGTGAGTAACCTTATGATAGGTTAGTATAGAAGGGAATTTGTGGGGCTTTGTTCCTACGTGATGTGAGGCCTGTTGGGTCGTAACACGAGGGTTCTAGAAGTAGGTAATATCTTCCCCTCGCTATATTTAGACCCGATATAGGTTCGCTTTCTCTATGATTAATGCCTAGAAGCGCGGAAGAGCGCTAGCGGGAATATTATATACTAGTTAGAAGGCTCGGCTCTTATCTTTAGTACTCTATCGGCCGGTACCTAGCCTTTCTTAGTACGCGCGAGACTTTACGTAGATAAGGTTATATAAGCTAGGGATTTCCTGCCGGGCGTAGTCGGGAATTATTTCATAGATAGCTAGGAGGATAATCTCGTTATAGAGATCTCTAAACCGCGCGAGGGATAGACTATTTATAGTAGTCTATATCTATGAATAGGCTCTATGAGGGAAGAAGACGAAGACGGAGAAGTAGATACCGGCGGTTATAAAAGACCTAATATAGGTGTGCCGCGTATATACTAGGTCTAGGCCGTGAGGTTATATGATTTTGTTAGTAGAGATATTACTCCTATGCGGTGGGAAAAAGGAGAGCCGAAACCGGTTAGGGGCTCAGATAGCTAATAGGCTCTTTGCCCCGAATTAGATGCTATTGATATCCCATTGCCGCGCGATGGTTACTGAGTTCTAGGATAGGGAGGCCTACGTCTTAGGGAAAGAGAGCGGTTCGGCAGGTTAGTCGGAGAGGAAGCTCTACTAGTAAGGAAAAGAGGCGCGAGGATTATATATGTTGTTACGCTCCGCGAAGATAGCTGGCAAGGGAGGAAGAGAGTGGCCGAGACGTTTAATTCGTTCCCGAAGAGTATGGTTATATTTAGGTTTAGTAAGCTCGTATGAGTTTAGGCCTAGTTTGAGTATAATATAAGTACCTCTATAACTTAAGAGAGTTAGGTCGGATAACTTATATTCGTATTAGTGGCTAAAGAATATCTAAAGGACGCGATTATATAAATTACCTCGCGTGCATAGAAAATCGGGGCTATTAGTAGTATCCTGGTTATGGATCGCTTGGAGAAAGCCGCTAAGGATTAGATCCTTAGGCCTAAGTGAAGGCGAGGCTAATAGGATGAACCGGTCTAGCGAGTCCGATATTAATAAAGTAGAACTTCTCGGCTGAAATGACCGACTATCTTGCTGAGGAAGGCGGGGAGATAGTGGTGCTGGGGCTGCCGGTAGCAATACGGCATTGGTATCGGGCGAGGAGCTCTCGGTATTATTACCGTGGCTATCCTTAATATAAACGGGGGAAGCCGTGGACGATAAGGGAAGAGATATTGCCTTAAACTCGAGCTCGGGACCCGACTAAGACTAGATTTGGGCGGGCGGAGATGGGGTTAAATTATCACGTAAGGTTAGGCTAGAGAATTCGACGGTAGGTGGCAGCTCCTGAACAATCTGTTGTACCCTTGCAAGGTGCTGTTGGTCGCGGTGTCGTTGGACGCGGAGACGCGTTCGCTCGACGGAAGGCTGCTGAGTAGTTGAATACCCGTATTGTAGAGACTGCTTTCGATATACTATAGCACCTACATGGCTCAAAGTGCTCCCCGATATGGTCTTCCTACTTTTTCGGCAGCGGCAGCCGGCAGACTCACCTCATCAGACCACCAATCTCCTCGCTGTTCTTTACGCCTTCAAATGTCGTCAAAGGTATCGAAGACTTGAATCTCTCTTTGAGGGGGCTCAGTTCGAGCTAAGAATTGCCGGAGTATCGAATTGGGCAGAGCCACATCATCCATCTCTCTTTGCTTTGCTTCAAAGTGACTGCGCATATCATATTGCTGGCCATTATTATTGAGCACCTCGCGGATCCATTTCGCTCGCCGAAGGATCGTTTGATCAAGTTGAGGCAGGGATTCAATCGCGCTGACCAGGGCCATGGCATTATGGCGAGACGGTAACAGGATCGTGGGCTGGTTGGGTCTAGTCGAAAACCGAGTCGACTTTGCCAGAATGGGAAGACGGAATGGGTCCTCGCGCTGTCCGTCTCCCGCCGTGGAGTTACGAAATTTCCAGGGCATTATAAATGCCAGATCGTCCTCATGGCTCCATTGGGGCCCAACAAGGTCGACCAAGCATTCCATAGCTTGTTTACAAATTCGATTCCGTTCCCTAATTTTAGCCTCGCGTAGCTGGTTGTGATGACTGATCAACCGTGTCCATAGTTGCATGAAACTGTTAGAATGGTTCTGGAACTCCGTGACGTTGATGGCTCTTGACATCGTGGTTGGTGGGATACAAGGGTTCCGATGCTGATGATCATTGACTGAGCCCCAAGGCGTAAGAGTAGTACATTCACGCGGCGAGAAATAAGGAGCCCAGTACTGTATCCGAAAAAATGTCGCTCTTTGATACCCAGCCCCAGGCCTGCGGTCAATAGCGACGTCCTTGGTCGGATCACTGTTGAAAGTGACCATGATGTAGTTACCAATAATGCGACTGAACCGTTCATCAAATGGACCCGCATAATCCTCAATGGTTTCCCAGAGCCGTTTAACCCTCTGATAGAGTTCAAGGAAGTATAGGCCGTACCAAGATGAAATTTTCGGACGGTTGAAAAGACGCTTAAACACAGAACTTGACCAGCTGTCGTCCGGGGGCAGATACTTGCGCGTTCCCATCCATAAGGGTACATCTCCCGGTATGTCTTCGGTGTCAGAATTAGGGTGAGTTCGAATGTAAGCAGTCCAAGCCTCATCGTAAATCTCCCATATCGTCTGTGCTGTGACGATGCGACCCGTCTGCATAGCCGACTCCTCTTCGCTTCGCTGCAGTCGCATAAGGCAGGGTAGGACATTGTGTCCGACTTTTTTGCGAAGGCGCCCCCAGTACAGCTGCAATTTGGAAAGCATATGCTGATGGTAAGCCCGAGCAACCTCTTCGGTAGCTAGGCAAATGATTCTCTCAACCAACTCATCTGCCGTGTGGCGACGACCGTTTTCAAATTCGGAACGGGCATGCTGAAGCAACTGCCGCAAAGATATTTCGATTGCGACTTTGGACACTGAAAGACGCTGAACACTCATTTGAGATACAAGGCCGCGCTGGAAAGGATTCCGAGGGATGTAGAGCTGGATGAGGGTCTCTAAGGCAATGTGTCCGCTATGCCAGTCTAGACTTGAGGGGGGGATCCAAAGCATCCCAGAGTCCTGAATAGACAGATCTAGCCCAAGGCCCCGTCGCTCTAGTAAAAATTTGGCGTGGGGGATTCGACGACTCTGAACAGTCCACTGCGACAGCCAAATCCAGTTGTCGTATGAGAAACGCTCCTTACTTGCGAGTGCGTAAGTGAGAAGTCGGCAGAAGAGCTGGGCAGTATAAAAAGCGAGAATCAGGGAAGGTGGAGAGATGTTGGCAGAATGAGACGCCTGTTGAAACAAGTGATCCAGCGGGAGGACGAGTCTTGCAGCCTGGGTGAATATAAGATCATTGATATCTTTGGTGGAAACAACCCAGAATGGGTCATGTCCCGCACCACTGGACGCGCCTGACACCTTGAAAGACCGATGGCCCACATGGGGGCTCTGATTTGGCTCAAAATAGCCTCGATGCCACATTCTAACAATCACATCAAGCCGAAAAGTCATTTCCTTCCGAATACCATAGTTGGCGAGAGCTCTTGCGTCCGAAGTAGCTCTCAAGTGCCGCTTGTTAGCCTCCCATGCTTTCAATAGGGCGTCACGCCGGACTTGCGTGGTGTTGGGTGCTTGATGGCGACCTTGATTACCGGTAGCTGAGGAGAGATCGTTGATCATGCCCTCATCTAGAGCGAGAAGCGGAAGAAAACCTAACCCAAATAGGTCGTAGTCACTAAACATGACAGAGAAGAGTTCTTTATGGCAGCTATATGCCTTGGCGCGAATTACCCCCGGCTTGCGCTCATGGGGATGACCTGGGTTTGAGGCTCGAGTGCGCTTCGCCTTGGCTTGATAATCCCCGATATCGCGAAGCAGAGACCGTTGAAAATCCACAGCGTTCAGGTGAGACCTAGGCGCAATTTTAGAGAGTTGCTCATGAAGATAGGAATGGCATTGGCTCTTCCATAGAACAGTGAAAGGCCCTCGTCCCGAAATATCGTGGGGCGGAACACTCGCAACATAATCACGGGCCCCAATGTCAATCCAGCAGGAGTGAACATCCAGATGCGCAGGGTCAAAAGCCCGGAGGACAGAGTATTCGAAGCTGTCCAAGGACTCGCTGAGTGTCCCTTTTCCGAAAGTGTTCTTTAGGTCGTGAGACTGAAATAGCAATCGAGGGTCCTTGAAATATGACACCAGTTCTCCGCTCTTCGTGGTGAGCTGGAATGAGTTTGCTTTCTCAACCACTAGGTTCCAAAAAAGTGGGAGATCTTCCGCTGGAATCGTGTATTGAAGATGGACTGCTCTACTGACATCATCTGGCTTCCATCGGTTGTTTCCGGGCTTCTCTTGGAAGGAACGGGACTTCGCATACGCCATGTCGTACGTTCGCGGTATCTCCTGGCGACAAGGATCAGACACGGCCTCATAGGCTGCCGGAATGATGATATGGTCGTAAAGATCCTTCTGTCGCTCGAGTGAGAGAGCATTCCGAGTCGCCGATGTTGAATCGGGAGCTGCATTCGGGAAAAAGAGAAAGGCGGAGAAGCGTACGCTATGCGTGTTAAAGGTACCAAACTTGATATGCCTTGTCTTTGCCAGTTCCAGCCCATGAGGCTGAATCACCTCGTCGCGTGACAGATTTAGAGCTAGAGAGGGCAGAAAAGACAGGCGGAAGTCATTAGGCGGTCGAATTGCCTGTAGACCTGTTGCCCCGAACCAAATACTATCAATGTCCCATTGCCTAGATAGTAACAGCTCCGGTTCGTCTGGAGGGAGAAGGTGCATCTGCGACTTGCGGAAAGAAAGCGGCTGGCTCGGCTTACTTGCCAGGAAGTCCTTCCATTGTCGGAGGAAGCTACTGGGATCATAAGAACCAGCCTCGCCAAAGACCGTCGACAGAGGAGGGAGGGAGCCCTGCAAATACTGCACGCTCTCTTGAAGGGAATGGGTGTGTTCTGGCTCATTGACCTCGGACCGACGTGCACCTGGTTTGGGTATTCTCATCAGTATATCTCTCATTGACCTCAAAGACATGACAAGACGCACAATGACATCTGGAATTAAAGAAGATGCGGAAAGCCTGATCATATGCAGTCTCATGGGATTCGAGAAAATCGGGGCTCAACTCGGCGTCTTGACGCCGGAGGGCTTCAATGAAGCTGCCAAGGGTCTCGTTGTGATTTTGACCGGCGGTCGGATTGATGGGCTCAGAGGGACGTTGCGAAGAACCGACGTATGAGCATACCGGGCAGGTTTGTGGATTCGCCCGAAAATGACGCGTCGACACTGACGAACCTGATATTCCGGCGGTGGACTGGCATCGGCAGTTGATCATCGTGTCTGAGAAGTCAGACTCTCTTGAGGGTAATATTGGCGGGATTCGTAATCGATGCAATCGGTTCCGGTATTTCTGAACGCGGAGTCGTATAAGCGCTCGGGTCGACTCTAGAGTATATCCTCGGGGACTACGTATTTCAGGGAAAGCTACTTGGCGTATAGGCGAAAATCTACGCATTAGAGGCGCGTCGATATATGCTGCGACCTATTCTGCATTATATCTCGTTCCTATTAGCTAGCTCGTAAGTAACAAGGCGGCCCGAGTATCGATTATATAATAGGCCATAGGATAAGATAGTAATTATTTATTAAGGTATACTAGAGGTATAGCTCCTCTAAAAACCATTATAGTAGAGGTAGAGGCAGAAGTTACTACCTAGCGTATTAGTAAATTAATTAGATTACTAATAGGCCTTAGACTATTATAAGATATATCCTCAGGAGATACTAGGTCATAGATAGAGTTAACTACATAGACTCTAGAGTAAGTAGAATACTCTTAATAAACTAGCTTTTATTATCTCTATTATTATTAAAGGCACCGGTTTCTCGCCTACTCGCGTTAGCTTTTAATCTTAGATAGGTTTATAAAGGCTTAGCGACCTATATTCTGCGAAGTACTTATAACTAATAATCTAATTATCTATTTTTTAATATAGCTAAAGTTCTCCTTTTAACTTTAGTTATAAAGCTAGCTTTTAATAAATCCTCGTATTTAAGTTTAATTAATATAATAATAATTATAAATTACTTAACTAAGGAGAACTTATTATATCTTAAATAAGGATAATAATTAGCGCTAAATAAGATATAGAAATACGGATTAATATATTCGCGATCCGAAATTTCTATATTAATTATACGTATATTTAATCTTATATATATTTTTCATAAATTAATCGAGGTATTATAAGTAGATACTTATAGGGATACTTCTAGTTTAAACTAGCTTCTATTAGGCTATAAGAGGAATAGTAGGGGTACCGTTAGGATTAAACCGCTCTAGTTAGCTACTACTAGGCAGGGAGAAAGAGCTCGGTCTACTAGCGACCTACCCTATATAGGTTTATTCCTTATCTTTATATCCGATAAAGATCTCTTTAAATAGATAAAAATCATTTTCTTAATAAAATATAACTAATCAAACTTTTCTCTATAATTTAATATACTTTTTACTCTATGTATTATTATAGTAGAGGCTCGGTGCATCAAAATGTCTTTTCTAGCCCTTTCGTAACGCACATGTCAACCCGGACCCCCAAGCTCATGATAGATAGATATATATATATATATATATATATTATATATATATATCTCCAACACTTTATGCTATATCTCAATGGCTCACGCGCGCAGGCTACAACCAAACCATTGACTCGCGGATTGCATGCGGCTGAAAATGCGCTATGTTGCTATTGGCTGGAATTGGCCAATCCCATCGTACCGCTCGTGCTGCCCCTGGTCACCTTTGACCACATCAAAAAAAATCCCCAAAACTTCAAACCGACCGTAACGGCGTAAACCTCCTTAAAATCAATTAAAACGTATTATACGATATCGCCTTACTCTTATCTTTCGATGCATATAATAATGGGCTATTTTACTGTTGGGAATATCTATGAGTTTACCCCTTTGGTTATACGACGAGTCTGCCCCCAAACTCGTTGAATTGTTGGTAGTCCGCCCCCTGGTCTATATTCCTGAGTAGGGCTTCACGCACTCAGGAGATGAATGTCGCCGTTCTAGTGGGGCTCGTTTAATTGTGGCACATGCTTACGGATACTCCGCTTGTGCTCTCGGCTGACTCCAATCCCCACTTTTCATTCGTCAGCAGGTGAATTCTGTGAATCAAATTGATGGCTTCCCCACTTCTCTTCCGCCCGCGTTATTATTTAATTCTTCTTCTGTCTTGTTGACTTATGCCACTCTTCCCCTAAGGGCGCTCACTATGGCCAGCGACAGACCGCAATCGGCAGCGGAGCTAGCACTTCCAGCACCAGGGTCATCCTTGTCTTTTCACGTCTTTCCCCACCTCCCTGTCGAGCTCCGGCTAAAAATCTGGCGCTACTCTTTTACGCCCCGTATCGTCGAGATCCACGCCCGCAGATCGCATTACGCCGATGACTTCCAACATGGAGGTGTGCCAAAATGACAAAGCGGTTGTAACAATCCTGCCGCGCTGTCTGTAAATTCCGAGGCGAGGTCCGCCGCATTGGATTGTTATCCGGTCAAATTCCCCCTTGCGCCTGTTGCGCCATGTGAGCATGCTGGCGATAGTATTAACGACTTGAATCGTGTGTTATATATCAATCCCGCGGTTGATACCGTCGTTGTACTTGGCGATCTGGACTATCGCAGAATGTCGCGCCTGCTATCGGACTTGAGTCTTCGTGATCCGAAGGGGAAAGGTCTGCAGAGATTGGCTGTCAGCGCCAGCTGGACATATCATCAAGGAGCTGGCGGCACAATCAGAATGCTTGTTCAACACATGTTTCCTGAACTGATTGAGATGACCGTGTTTATGTATGCCGAAAGAGTACCCCCTGCCAATTGGGCTAGTGGAGTGTGCTTGCTGGAAGATTGTAGTGGGACGGACTACTACAAGCGGTATGCGATGGGAAGAGGCCAACAGATGAAGGATGGTGATAAATGGATGGTGATTGGGAAGAAAGAGTTAAGAGTGATGGAGCTCACTTTCAGGCATGGATGGTAGTTGGATACTTCGATGGTTTGGTGATGAGTATAACTGAGGAGTTACTTTGGTCGGATATGTTACTACTTATTACCGGCCTCTAACATGCGTGATTCCGTATACATACTCGACTGTCTCTGGCTCTATTTGCTCGAAATTAACTGGGATTATCTGGGCCCTTAACATCAGTTCTCAAACGGTCATTCAGGCGTCAAATGCTACACGTACCTAATCCTTGGATGTAATATTGTCACATTTTACGGGGGATTTTGACTATACGTTGAAGCTCTTGATTTCTAACTGAATGAGTGACTGAAGTTGGTCTGTTTTATCCTTCCTTGGATCCATCGTATTCGGCAGCCATGACGGAGTGTTCTTCACGATCTGTTTTATCCAGGTTTGATCTTTCTTGCAGCGCTGACCTCAATTCAAGTATCAAGTCAAGTATTTCAAGTAAGTCAAGTAAGTTAACAGCCCAATATATTTCAAGTAAGTAAATTCATAATGCCTTAAGCTTGATTTACTTAAAATACTATATTTTATGGGTTGTCCTGTGTCCCAGTTCTGGGAGTGCCGAGGCCATTCGGGGCTCGTCGGGCCCAAGGTGTAGGGTAATGAATTTAGTGTGGTAAGGAATATGGCCCAAGCTAATTACACCAATGATAATCCAGGGACGCGGTAGGGGTGGCGCGGATTTGTTGTTTTGTTCGCCCGCGTATTCAAGACGTATCGCACCTGACTCAGAACCCAAGTCTGTGAGAAGCATCCACGATCCGCGATTCGCTAATGATCCGCTATGGCAGCATAATAGCAATCGCTAGAAACGCTCCTGGGCATTAGCAGTCAGCGTAAATCACTGAAATAGCAGCTTAACGCTGCGTCTATTAAGGCTGAATCTAGGAGAATGACTCTTACTGACCTCCTAACGGTCCAGATCGGCTACAAGAGGTATATACTAGAGGAGTATATTGCCAATAAGAATCGCAAAGGCCGGCGGAGCTGGATTTAAGCCCACGGATTCTTCCTCACGGAAGTTAGCCCTAATTTGCGGACATTACAGACCTACTAGGCTTACTCGAAATGTGATGAACGCGGGAAGAGCTCATTATTCGTCGCGATAAACACCACGTCATCAATTAAACATCTCCGAAGGTATATGATATGCGTATAAGTCTGACATTTATTCTATTTTCAGCGCCTTACTGGATATAGGTCACATATGATCACTGAGGCGGATGGCAATGCGGATGAAGATTCGTCTCGCGCTGATAGTCAACCCCCTTCGAAATGGCGCTGCCTGGAGCTCCCTATTGTAAGATCTAATGTTAATAAAGCGAAGGAGCTGACGGTCGGCTGGATCGTTACTGCCAATCTTCCTTTTACGGCGCCATCGAATCCGTATTTGCGACGAATACTCGACTTATACGATGCGTCATTGGCGAAAGAGGTGCCGTGGAGCCGGCAATCGGTGCGTAATACCATGCGGAAATTATTCGAGGTAAAGAAAGGAGCAATATCGAGTTAATTAGAGAAGGCAGTCACAAAGATTAGCTTTAGCTTTGATATATAGACTTCTCCAAACCGGTACGCTTTCCTTGGCCTCCACGCTTATTATCTCGACGCCTCCTATTAAGTCTAATCGCGGCTTCTTGCCCTGCGCTATGTGTGGGGAGCTCATTCCGGAGATAACCAAGCAACGACAATATATGATATCTTCGGCGAGTATGGAATATAAGATCGGATTGGCGCGGGTATCTACGATAATATCTCGTCCAATGATATATGCTTAGCGAGCCTCTATCATCAACTTTCTCCTGCGATGGCCAAGGAGGATATTAGAAATAATCAAACACGGTACTTTAGGCATATTATCAACCTTACAGCTCGAGCGTTCCTCTGGGGGAAAGACCCTAACTCATTTAAGCGAGAAGCCTTTACCGAGGCAGCTTTCCAAATTAAAGAGCATGAGCTTTGACTTTGGCGGAAATGGGGAGCAGTGGGCAAGCTACATAATATCATCCGGTTCGTTAGGGCCTCTCCGCAACGGCGAGAGTTAATAAAATCTCTGGCATGTAGCCAGCGCGATAAAGACGATTATCACCTCTTTGAGGAGGACCGAGCTGCCATCGATCTCGAACTGATGCAGAATAATAAAACTAGATGGAATTCGACGTTTCTAATAATCCAGCATGCAATTCAAAAACAAGAGTAGATTAACCATTTCATTACATATCTCGACACGAAGGCAGCAGAGCCCCGACAACGGGTGCCTGTCTAAGATTATCTTTCACAGTAGGACTGGCTTCTCTTGGCGGAGATACAGAGTCTACTAAAACCACTCTACGAGGTCACCATGAGGTGCCAGGGTTAGGCTAAAGAAGGCCGTTACGGCGCCTTGTGGGAAGTGATAATCGGAATGGAATATTTGCTCAACTTCTTCGAGGAGCAAAAGCTAATATTCTCGCCCCCGGATGGCACTCCTGATGAGCTACAGATTGCCAGAGCCTCGGCAACCACGAGTACAGCTTTCCAGTTCATATTCGCTCTTATGTCTATTTTACTAATACTTTCGCAGGATGTAGTCCTCCACGAGCTAACCAGGGTCGCAGACGCGAGAAACACTTGCCACAGCACACTCGAGACGAATATACCGGTGCATTCTCGCAAGCTAAGGGTCTTGATGATGACCACCGACGATGCCTACAAATCTCTATCAATAACTGTTGGGCAAAACTTGACGAGTATTACAGTCTACTTGGCCAATCGCCACTTTACCCGGCTGCCGTTATTCTTCACCCGCGCTGGAACGTGTCTTGGCTTGAGGCGAACTGGACTAGCCACGAGCAACTAGTGTGGCTACGGGATGCTAAGAACAGTGTCCGGGAATTCTTTGAACAACAGTATCCACGTAAGGAGCAGACTGAGACAACGAGAACCGTGATAGGAAAAGCGATGCGGCAAGACGAGCCTAGTCAATTCGACCAGTGGATGCAGAGCTACGATCGGTACATGATGGAGGAAGAAGATGAGCTTGGAGTTTATATGAGGCAAGGGCCAGTCCGGCGAGAGAACTTGAACCCCATTCTATGGTGGAAGGAACACCAAGAAGAATATCCACGTTTGAGCAAGTTTGCCCTCGACATCCTGGTAATTCCTGCTATGTCTGTCGATCCTGAGCGGACGTTTAGTGTCACAAAGTTGACAATAAGCTCGCAAAGGCACAGCTTAAGCCCCGAGATAATAGAGGAAATACAGTGCCTACGGAATTGGCTAGGCCATCAAGCGATCTCTGTGGGCGAGGTCGTCAGCTTTGGTGGGGACCTGATGGGGTGGGATGGAGGGGAGGCGTGAGAGTACCAATAGCTTCATCCTGGCCTCGGGTCAGTGCTTTCAATTCAAGTATATCAATTCAATTCAAGTTAAGTAAGTTCACGGACGATTTTATTTCAAGTAATCAAGTTACACCCCCGAACTTGACTTACTTGAATTGAAGTCAGCGCTGAATGACAGTGAGGCGCTTCCAGCCCAGACGATGAAAGTAGGCATCGCCCTGGGCTGTCTTTTCTCTCTCCAGGTCTAAGCCCATGACTTGGCCAAGGGCTTCGTCAGAGACTCGACGGACACATTCGATCTTATCCATGTCTGAAATGTTCTTGTCGTCCGAGGAGCTCTCAGGGGCAGGAGGGGTGATGTAGTGGTCCATGACGACGATATTAACTGATAAAAGAGCTGCAGTCCTTATCAACATATAGCACAAGAGATGGCTTTTATAAGCTTTTTCGGAAAAGCCGTAACCTGCAAGACAAGCAATAAGGCGTGCAAGTCATGACAAGGCGTCCAATGCGAGTCTCGTTATTACCGTGATCCTTGACGAAACCCCAGACTACGGGTCTCCTTCTTCCCCATGGGGGATTCGAATCTCTCCATAGTTCCCGCAAGAGTCTCGTGTTGTAAAGAGGAGAGCGTTTTTTGAGGCGTGAGTCTAGGGACATTTTTGATTTGTTTATATACCTCATTGGTTAGAAGTGGTCCGGCTAGCACCACGAACTTCCTAGCGATATACAGCTCTGTAGAGTGCCATATTCTCTATCGTCAAATGCCAACAAACCGCTTGCTTGATATTGCTATCAGGGGAGAATCTAGCCAAGTCGGATGACGGGGCCCCGGAAGAACATCCGGAAGCCCCCGCCATGACCCCGTACCCGCCGGCAGGGACGAGGAAACTTCCCATATAGGAAACAGACTAGTAGTGATCAACAGACTATAACGTAAAAACTCTCTCGAGTAAAAACCGCGCTCGTCTGTTTAGGCAGGTGAATGCGTTGTGAAGCTGCAGCTGCTTCTGAAATGACCCGTTGTTCGTTTCTGTCTGGTTATTGTGTCTTTTGAGGTGTTTGTTTACTGCTGCAAGTGGAGAGACCAAATTTGAGTGGGTTTCAAGTTTTAAAAATTGAATATTCATGGTGATCAAAGCTTTTATGAATGAATGAGAACGGACAGATGCAAACAGGGCGGGATCAATGTTCTCTTCCTACGCCAAGTTGAAAGGAATGTATCAGGCTACGGGAGTTGACTCTTGTGGATATATATCCCATTTCGTATGAGATTATCACTCTTTGTTACGTGCTTCACTTCCCTTCCCGTAAAGACAAAGAGTATATCAGACATAGTAGCAAAGATCACGGTCTTAATTATCCTCAAGACAGCCAGCAACAGGAGGGAACAGAGCTTGTAGCGGACAGCAAACTCAATGCTGCGTAACACCCGAATATAACATGTCTGCCTGGCGAACTTTATCCCCGAGGAGTCTATCTCAGATCACTTGACTCACAACGAGTGCCATTAAGTTCGGCCCCTGTCCATTGATAAAGTGAATATATCCGTTAAGCTCATTCACAGCAACTTATTCTTGATTCAACTGGTTCTACCGCCAATCAGGCACTTTAAACACCAACAAGGCTGTGCGCTGCAAAACAGAACTCTATACGGCAAACTCTATAGACAATAATAAACAGAGCATCTCCTATTAATATTTCATCCTCCCTTTCTCCTCCAACAAACAGATAATACTCATAAATCATTCTACAGGACATGTTCAATAGCCGGCCTAGTCGCTTTTCACATCGATTTTCCAACATCACAAACAAGCATCAGACTTCGTTCGCTCGCTTCCTCATATTATTTCATCAACCACACACAAGCTCCAGACTCTGATGCAAAGTGCATCATCTCAGTCTCGGATGTTTTCCGCATAACTATCCCTCGACAGCATCATGGAGGGACCCAGGGGTGAGGTCAGAGACCACACCTTTTACGCCACAAACTTCAACGAGGTGTATCCCCTATACCCCTGGGCTCGCAGAGAGAAGCGCTTGGTAATCCTTTTAACTTATCCACCGAGATATACCTATTGTCCCCCCGTTGGCGGTCACCTAGTTCTTCTTTACTAATCCGATAGACCTTTCAGCTGGGATAGTATCCAGGTCGTCGGCTTCCACCTGGACATCTCCTTTGGATATCACCAAGGAATCCGGGAGCTGTATAAGTGCGCCCGAGAGGTTTTCCGAAGCCAGCCGACTCGTTTATTTATTCATGGATACTTTATCTATGGTTATTCTCTCGAGCGGTGGGTATTTGACCGATCTGGCATGTATTGCTCTGGGTCAATACCTTTTGACCTAAATACGATCTAGCCAGGCACCATTATAAACCAGTTAATTATCGACGTCCTGAAGAATTATCAATAGATAAGCGACATCGAGTTAGGCGGGAATCCAAGCGTCCTCCATGATAGCATAGGGAATTATATTCCGGCTTATGGTTACTATCCTTAGCCTAGGCTATACCTAGAACGAACTCCGCTTGTGTGCCCTCATAATATCGTGAACCGATGCACTATTTGCTATCGAGTAAGGACTTTAGGCTCTGAGTATGAATATGTCGTCAAGTTCTTATGGCGGTCGCGATCTCGAAGCCCGGAAGAATAGATACTACGGCTTGCCTAGCAGCGCAGCGTCCAGGGAGTAGTGTGACTGGTCAGCTATTATGTAGTAGATAAATCCGCTAATCTCCGTCAACGGCTGGAACTTATAAGGCACAGAGAATTCCCGCGCGCTAATCTAGTAACTTTACCGGCAGTAAACTTAGCCATGTCTTGCCTAGTTATCACTCCGTCTAGGCGTCCTATATCAAAGTTTAACGATATCCTAGAGCTGCTCGAGGCCTTCCGAGATGCCATAAAGGCATATTGGTCTCTTTACTTTGACGGCGGAATCCTCTATCGGGATATCTCGACTAGAAACATTATCATCCCCGATATTAGGAAAGAAGGGGAGCAGCGTGGAATTTTAATTGACCTCGACCTAAGCAAGGAAGTAACAGATCTTTCAACTACATCGGAACAGATTATTAGAACCAGGCCCTTCATATTAATTGACTTAATGAAACACGGGCAGCATTCGTATCTTCATGATCTAGACTCTTTCTTCTTCGTCTTTCTCTGGGTCGTCATCTGCCGAGACGAAGAACCCTCGTCCGAGAGCATTCTCGACGGTTAGAGCAACGGAAGCTTTAATCACCTAGCGAGAAGAAAAGCCAAGGACATCTCGTTGGACAACTTTCACCTCCTCATATCCGAGATCCCGCCCTTGTTCAAGTGTCTCAGCAGGCTGGCGTACGAGCTGCGTGACATGGTCGACACACCGTGGAAATACATTTGCCATCATGGGCAAGCACGTCAGATCGAGCGGCGATATGTTGATATGATCGGCGCGTTCGAGGGAGCCTTAGATGACTATAGGTCGGGAAAGCTTCAGGGGGAGCTTGAAGAGGACTGAGTTGGCTCTCGCGATAAGTCACTGCAAATCAGCAGGAAATGATAAGGCACACGGCACGATAGGTATCACAACGATATCCACAGGCGGCATAGGGTCATAGGGTTTCACGGGTTCGAGTTACCGACGATTAGCGAAATAGAGAATGACATTGTATATATTAGCTCTGCGGCGAGACGTTCGTCGTAGTACTTCATTAGATTACCGAACGTAATCCGTTCAAGTCTAGAACATTGGTCCAGGGTTCCATGTCCTTGCCCCCTCCTGTGACAGCCGTTGACAATAGGGCGCAACGCCATGGCATGCCACGCAGTGGGTCACCCCCCACGAACCATTCATCATGATCTGGGGTAACATGTACAAGAATGCGAGGAAGATGTATTTTTATTGCAGTATTATGTGGTAAATATGATAGTAAAGACTTGTAACGGTCATGTTCACTAGTATCTTGCTGAGGAGTCATTATTACCAACCAACTCGCAAGTGTTGCCCACCAACAGCAAGATCATTGCGATAGCCGAGTCATTCCATATACATCAGCCTGCCCATCTTGTGCAACTCCGGCCACCGGCCTACCTGGACCCGGCCCGGTATGGCATAACACCAATGAAAACTGGGCCAGCCATCAAGTATAAAGGCCAGGGTGCAACCAGGCATGTACAGTCATGCATTTATCTCGTCATCGTACTGTCCTGCAGGCTACACTTCTTGTCTCACTTATACCATGGCTTCCACGAGAGCATCTACTGATGAGCAGCATGATTCCAAGCCATCCGACTTGGACAAGAATCAAAAGAGGTTTGTTTCTATCACATCCGCCTTTTGATAGGCATTCACTTATTCTTCCGCGTCAAGGAAACTCCGTAACCGTCTCTCCCAGCGCGCCTTTCGTCGAAGACAAGCCGAGTATCTCAGGGATCTAAGAAACCGAGCCGAAGGCTCACAGAAGCCAGACAACGAGAGAGTCGCCGAGCTCGAAGAGGAGAATGGTCGTCTACGCGTCCACATCACCGAGCTACAGTCGCGGTTGGAAGGTGTACAGGTCACGCTTCAGATGATAGCTTCATCATCTTCCAAGATCCTTGGTCGATCCAAGAGTACTCTGCCTCGCCAATCACGAAATGAAGAGCGAGATTCAGAGCATGAAGAGAACGCGCTGTCAAAGTGCAACTCCATCACTGTTGATAAAGCGCAGTCTGACGAAAACCCTTGGCCAGCCTTTTCTTCTGCTGCCCTTGAAGCGATCCAAATCCCTGACCTGCCCTTCCCAGCCGACGTCGACTCTACCATCGACATTCCAACCAGTGATGCCGTTCAAACGAGATCCAGCCTAATCCGCGACGTCATGGACAGCGTGGGCCCAATCGACCCGGACCTATCCAAATCCCCCCTACAGCTACAGAGGATACCGAATATCTGGAACTTCAACTATCAGATGGGCAGCCAGTCGTATGTCGATGCCATCGAGTCTTGTGCGTCCTCCCGGCCAACAAGCGGCTTGAGATGGGTCGATTCCAACTCGCCAATCTCGGACCACATCCAGATCTTGAAAAGATTGTTATTAACCAAGCTGAAGCCGACGATTCTCGATAACCGATCTTGCCAGACGTGAGTCTATTGGCCTTGAAGGCTAACAGATTGCGCTCACACGTTATATAGACTCTACCAGTCTGTCTCTACCGTACTGGCCATGTTCAACAGCGTCACTCGCCCCGACGTCATGAACTGGTACGCAAAGACGAGGTTCTTCCACATCATCGAGCTCACGGCCTGGCAAATCTTGCCCTGCTCCCTCACTTATTCAAGAGTGCACGAACGATATCGACCGACAGAGCTTCAACTTGGCCTGCAAGGGCAGTATCCTTGTGTTGTCGACTGGATCCCCTTTGCGTCGATACGAGATCGAATTATACAACTCCATGCCGCAAACCCCTGTGTCGACCAGATATTCTGCGATACCGTCAGCGCATACGTCGTCGAGTCTACCCTCTCCGAGCTGGTGGTGGGAGGCTCCTTGATGAAGGTCTACATCCGCGTGACAGACCTCATCGCAAGCATGGCTCTCCAACAATCCGAAGGCGAAGGCATAGACCACATGGCATCCCTCCCAGCACCCGACATCAAGACTCTCTTCTCATCCCCCGAGTACGCGTACCTCGCCTTCAAGCACCTCAAGATGGACTGCGGAGCGTCGTACTACAAGATCGACCCCGTCTTCTTCAGCAAGTACCCCGAGCTGTGCGATCCGTCCGACGATATCGTAGCCTCGGGAGTGCCCCTCAAGCCGGGGACGCAGACGACGTTGACGAGCCCCAACTATGTCGATTCCATAACAGCTGCGACTTATTGTAGTTTTATCAACTTTTCCTTTGATGCGGCTACGGCACTGTCTCGGTTAGAGTATGTTTAACCAGTGTCGAGTCTTTCAACTATCTTCTTAGCGATTTAGTAGCTTTATTGGCGTTCATGATAACCACTCGTTCCGACGTACAAAGATATCAGATTAAATACATTTAAAATACCACTTAATTACACAGACTTAATACTAGAGTACTGGAGAGTACAAGATGCCCACACATCTGATCAACTCGAATACAGCGCACTGAAATTGGATATACCTCTATAATGACCTGGTCCACCTGGCTCCTATGATGAACTCCCCCAACTCATGGCTGACGTATACGTTATGCGCCGCCGGCGCAAGCTTCGATATCGGACCGGCCACATGGAGGATTAAACTGACAGTTCTCCACCTTGCGTCAAGTTGTGCAAACTGCACGATGTGGAATCATTCCCCCTGCTCAGATCTTACTCACCAAATCATGACTAGAAAACAATCCGCAAAGCATAAACTGCCAATCAGGAACGCCGCAGTCAACCAATCTACTGATAATGGAGGGCGTCTGTGGCATAGGGCGCTTGGCGTTGACAATGAGGCGCTTGCATCGACACTAGGGCACGCTTCATGTCGATCCAAGGGCGTTTCTTCTCCACCACTTGACGAGTCACGCGCTTGACGTCTCAGACATCTCCGGTGTGGACGGAAGCAATACCATGTGATTTGTTTATCTCATACGGACTTTTCGTGTAATTGAGCCAGCTTTGACCCTTACGTCCTGGATCATCGCTATCTGCTCAACTGCATGTTTAAAGTCTTGTAGTTTCCTGAGTATAGATTCAAACCATAAAGAAGCTCTGCTAGGGTATCAAGGCTGGGTATCAGTTTGTTCAAAACCTACCGCTATTTACTTTAGTTTAGTGTAGAGAACTATCCATGACAGATCAGAGAAGGAACTTGAACATAATAAATAGCAATGTCTCGAGATAGGAAGAACCAAAGGGGACAGATAGGAACCCCGTAGCTACACCCCCATGCTGGCGTCATTCTAATATAGTTATCGTATCTCCTTTCTCTATGTATGTAAGTACCCTGAACGTGAACAGAGTTACCCAATGCCGTAGAGACGCTCAATCGTTGACAACTAGAGACCATGCCATGCGTTCAACCTAGATCCTTGTTCATTCATGGCCCCAATGGGTTTCCTTGTCCCTGACATACGAAATTGAATTATTCGAATCTGGCATGCTCGTCTCTAAGGAATCTTGCCACCCTCCAAGTTATGTAACGACCCGCTGACATGAGTCAACCGCCAGCCATCCGACCATGAGCATCTGGGTCGAGCATGAGGAATCATCAGTAGACCTGGAGGCCGCATGGATATCATATCGTGAGTCATGAGAAATAGGGGTGGTTTGATTGAGTTCCAAGAGATAACCTGCGGGCTTGAGTCACGCCATCAACTGGAGAAGCTGGGGTTAGTTACAGCATTTTAGCAGTACTTAGAGCGTCCGTTTCTAGATTCTGATATCTGGTAATTCCCATCAGATCCCGTCGATCTCGGTTCCTCGTGCTTTGTTTATTCAACTTCTTGAGAACATATTAACACGATACAACCAGAGCCTCAACATGGCGGCAGAAACAAAAACATTTACCATCAACGAGGTCTCCCAGCACAAGACAAGAGACGACTGTTACATCATCATCCGAGACAAAGTCTACAATGTCTCCAAGTTTCTCGACGAGCACCCGTATGCTTGACACCCATTCACACATTCTATCCTTCCTCTTGCAGAAGCAGTTATCCAAAGATGAAGTTCAGAGCTAACGTACTGCCTCTGGATATCACAGGGGTGGTGACGATGTAATTATGGACATGGCAGGTGAAGACACCACTGAGGCCTTTGATGATGTCGGCCACAGTGAAGAAGCAAATGAGATGCTCGCCGCGATCTTTGTTGGGGAAATATCAACCAAAGTGAGTCTCTCGTATGCTTGTCTCACCTCTTGGGTCGGCTAACTCGTCAGTCTCTGGACACCTCTCAACGAGCCGGCTCAGGTTCAACTACATCGCTGTGCCACTCCTATAGGGGCAGTATCGCCTCTGTAGCTATCGTTGTCTTGAGTATAATTGGCTTTTACATCTATCAAAATGCCAAAAGCCAGTATCAGACTTGACTAGCATATATTTCCACCCATACAGTACAGTGTATGAATCGTACGCTGTAAAATTTGAGACCGAAAGTGTTGGAAGTTTTCTTGTGCTTGATACATGTACGATAGTTGAGAGAGCAGGTACAACAGAGAAGCATATCCGACAGTTCAAGGTTTATTTCCCCAAACTGGTAGCTAATAAGAACACCTCTTCAGCATTCATCTCCCTATAATTACAAACCGACCTTCTGTTAGTGATATTGAGTCAACAGCCCGGCTTCTCATCCGGCGTATTCACTTCATAGGACTGAGAAAAAAGTGGTCGTTTGTCATGGCCGTAGCCCGAAACTTCATCCCAACCTCGATCGTCCCCTCGGTCTTCGGTGCGCAGAGCATGCCAAAGCTCGGCTTGAACTTGAGTCCCGGGTCGATTCTTCGATACTTCATCAGCTGGTTCCAGGGCTGTCGTGGGTGCTTCTCAGCTGTGTCTGGGTCGACATTGGGTACGTGGCATCGCAGACAGCGGCATACCACGTCCATGTCAAGAGGCTGTTTGTCCTCGTTGATCCGTAGCGATTTCCAGCCGTCTTCGTTCCATGGGGTGCTGCCGCGGATGATGATGTTGGGGCGGAACCGTTCAATATCAATCTTGTCCTCACCCGCTTGTGTCAGGCGCTCATTGAGCTCAGTGATGCTCGCCATAGAGCCAACCTGTGTACGTTAATGAGTAATAATACTTTGCCACAGCGCCAAGTCAACTCACCAACACGGGCATCATGTCAGCAAACTTGATCGCCTCGGTACGTCCCAGACGATGAGGCGCTCCACAACCACGTAGAAAGCAAGGCAGAATCAGGAGGAGGTTATTATCTCCAGTGCCATACTGAAGAGAGAAGACGGGGTCGCCGACAGCTTAGGTTACGTAGCATATTTAGCGGGGGTTGGCAATGCGGCTGAGAAGGCGCATCGGGGTAGTTAATAGCAATAACTACATAAGGGTAATAGGGGTTAGCCATCTAGATGTATGGTTAAGGGTGCACGCTAGCATGCCGCGACAGTTGGTTAATTTCGGGCAAGAGCAGATCATAGGGCGATGTAGGTAGAACAGCGAGTAATTAGTGATATAGCGGTCACGGTCGACGCACCCGACGCACTCTTTATCAAAAACAAGTGAGGAACATAGAAGAATAAGACCTACTTTTCTCGTCCCCTTCGATAGGCAAGGCAACATCAATCTACCCCATGACAGAACCGGGGCCATTGCGGCAAGACCGGTTCCAATAAGCATCGTATTAGGCAACTACGAAAGCACGAAGATTACTAAAAATAATATTATACCTATATAGAAGCCTCATATTTTCATCTTTAATAACCTAACTTTCAAATATATAAGGCATACTCCTACGGAACCCTTCATACTTAATGGTCTCGCCGAGTTATCTCACTAGGAATGAACCGACTTTAACGAGACCCCTAGTTATTAGTTATCGGCACCTCTGACCTTCTTGCGTGGTCGTCCTAGGCCATAGATATTCTTGCGCTTCCGAGACTCTATGGCACCCCTCGCTAACTCTTTGGCCTTAAACTTTTCAAACTCATCTAGGGCAATCTCTCGAAGCGTGGACTTATGCTCCCACGTTGAGTCGGCGGGGCGGAAGCCAACCCATTAGACCTCATAATTGTATTGGGCGTCCTTGGAGTTATCGGCAGGTCGGGCACCCTTAGGGACCTTAGTACGCTTTAAGATCTTAAATACATAGTAAAGCTCGAGCTTAGTCGCACTATCGCGCCCCTAGTGATTCTTCCAGTACTTATAGACGAGAGCTAGGTTATCTTCCTGCAGACTCTATTCCGGTTCCTAAGTAGTCTCACCACTCCCCTTCCACTTAACTTTGAATTCAACGGTCGAGCTGTCCTTATGGACGCGATGCTTAACGAGCTCATCAACCTCGCTGGTGTCTTTAACCTCGGCAGGGGGCTTGCCTACCGAGCCGGACGCGGCAGGGGCGTCACCATCAGGGTTCAAATCCACGACACTCCACGACACATTTGTGAATATAGCGTAGATATAGATACTAACTAATAACTGCGATGTAGAATAGGTAGAAATGGATCCATTATGGAAATAGATCCATATTATGGAATTTGTGGAATAGAAACCTACTTCGTCTAATAATGGTAATTAGTGGGTTGCATCTATGCCTTGGTGACGTCGATGTTTTTGTCACTCGTCTATTAGAATCCTATCTAGCGACCCGATCAACCAGCACGCAACTAACTCCGTAGTGTCTGACAAAGCCCAATTGTACTGGCATCTAGCCTATTGCGGCTCTTGGTAACTATGCGGCCAGTGGTCGAGAATAGCCTCTCACACTCGGCTGACATAGGTGGCACAGTAAGCAGATCCAAGGCCATCCTAGACAGCCGGGGGTATTTGAGCCGCCTTATGTGCCAGTAGTCGTAGGGATCTATGACAAAAGCATCAGCATCCTCAATATCGCGCTGCCACTGCTCGTATTCATCAAGATCCAGACCGCCAACTGAGGACCTAGGGGACTAAGCCGGGGATTGAATGGGCGACTCAGTAACAGAAATCCCTCCAGCCGTCAGTCCTCGCTTCTTTGTGCGCCACGCTGTGAACTTGTTTCTTGAGGTCTTGAGACGCTTATTGGCAGGCAATTCAATCTCCAGATCATCAACCTCAAGGTCCCTATACTCTCTCTCCCAAAGATCCTGGACCATCTCCTTCGCCTTGGTAATCCATAACTATCTTTCCTCGTCGTCTCCCCACAAATCGTCAAATAGTGCCCACCGGTAAGCAGGATGGAGAACTGCGGCACCATAGATCAGGGGGCTATCGTTCAAATGCTCGTAGTATTCGTTCAATTTAAGCCAACCCAGGTTAATGTTGACTGCGAGGTAGTAGCCATCTAGAAAATTAGCGACTGCTCTTTTCGCGGATTCAAGGGTTTCAAGAAGAAATTCGTACGCGTGAATAAGATCCCAGCTTATACCTATACAAGTCAGCTGCTATAATAAGAATAGGGCCGCTTTTGCGAAGTCTAAGGCTTACCAGACAGTGGGGGCTCGACCTCGTTTTCCTCGACGTTTCTGCGGTGTTTTCCCTATCCATCACCCTCAAGGCCTTTCATAACCAGCTGGAAGTCAAGCAAAATGTCGTAAAGAGTCCCGAGCACGCGCCAATCATCAGTTATCATGCGGTTCTCTTCCTTCAGGAAGAAGGGCTGCTTGGAGCCCTTTTTGATATTACCAGCTCTCGTCAAGTTGGCTTTCTCCCACTCGTTTGACGCTCTTAGGATAAAAGAATTATAAAATGGCCTTAAAACTAGAGCACGCTTAATTATCGAGAATTAAGAAAGCCATTAGGTAGCATTATCGACCATAACTCCAACTGGTCGGTATTTCTTAAGCTAAGCGTCGTCAGAGAGTTGGCTCTCGACAGCCTGTACCTTCTTGAGCATATCGGTCCACGTGTCCGATCTGCTCACCTCCTAGGACTTCGTGAGTATAACAAATAAAATCGGGGACTGAGCCACCTACAACAGCAAAGTTATGCCATTTTCCAACGGAGCCTCGCCTCCTCTAGACTTCATGCTCCTTCGCTGCCGTGTGAAGTCCTTCAAAGAGCTCTTTCTCGAAAGCATCCGGGTTCTTGCCATACAGCATCTGTTTCACTACTATGTTGACAACGTGGCCAACGCAACGAACCCATCGCTTCTCCCAGTCGAATCCAAATTCTAATGCAAGCTCCTCCATTGAGGTTTTATTGTTATAGGCATTATCCAGTGTGAAATATCCGATTCTATCGCTGATCTCGTACTCTCGAATAATCTCGATGATCTGCCCGGCGATATTCTCGCCTGTGTGCCGCTCTATAAGCTCAGGCAGGCCGAGGATATACTTCTGTGGCCGGTCGTTGGAATCCCGAAATACACATGTGATGCCATATAAGGCGTGTCGGTTACCAGACTTCCAGCCATCGTACTGGATATGGATCTGTCCTGGACTCTTTCGCAAAGCATCCTTTACTCTTTCCATGTTGTTGGTAAATTCTCGTTCTGCGATGGTACGCATGGTCACGTTAGTAATGTTAGCTTTTGTGATCTCGATAGATGGATTGAGGTAGTTGAAGATGTCTCGAAGATCTTGATCGTTGACGATCGAGAAGGATTGGTTAGAATTGACAATCCAGTTGATAAGTTTCTGCTGGAATACAGTTTTGTCGAAACGTTTGATCAGCGTATTGATCAAATCTTGTTCCTTCGGGGTTCAACTGTAGGATTGTTGCAATGGACTGATGTGCTTTCTCAGATGCCTTTGCAGGCTTTTGCCTCTTGCCTGTCGGATCCATGATGCCATTGTGGTCCGTGTATAGGTGACCCTCAGCGTTCTGCAACCCTTTGATGGCATAACTCTTTGGCCTCGGCCGCTTTTGCTTGATGCAAAGATAATACACCCGTCGGCGTTCCCCCTTCTGGGCATGCTGGATATCGTAGCCGAATTGATATACCCATTGACGCACTTGGCCGTCTCTCTCCGTCAAGGTCCAGCCTTTATAGAGCTAAAAGAGTCGTTGATTGTCTTCTTCTGTACGTTCTGGAACGGGTGTGGTTGACTTGGTAGGATGATGATGATGATGATAATATATTTAACGTCTTACAGGAATTCCTGCCGACCGCCTTTATAGGCGTAAGAAGACGTGCTAGGCTAGGGTCTGGGGTCTCGGGCAAAGGCCCTAGGTTATCTTGATCCGTCAATTGCGTCGCGTGCCGGGGGTCTAGAAGCAGAGCTCCTGCCGCACTCCTTGCTGCTCGCACCCGCTATTTCCTTCTCGCATTTCCCCCAGTCTAACTAGCAATTCAAAGGCAATGCCAGAGTTGTTAAGGGCCCTTTCCCTGATCCGCAGGGTCCGTGGCGCGGAGTAAAAGTACCGCAACTTTCGTATTTACGTACTCGCCGAAGGCGGCTTTCCGATTGCAGTCGACGTGGCTAGGCCACTGGATGAAAAGAGAGTCGGTCGGTCGGTCGATCGGCTCGGCAGCTATAGCCATAGCTGCGAAGAAGAGAAGGTCGAGGCAGCCGGGGCTGCGAAGAAGAGGTCGAGGCAGCCAAAGCTGCGAGGAAGAAGAGGCTGAGGCAGCCGAAGCTGCAGGGCCAGTCAAGGGCTTGCAAAGGCCGGTCTTCTGGGCAGCTTGCGGGCAGAGGCTGCAGAGATAGTCGTAGGGAAGGGTGCGAGCCGCGGCGGCAGCCCTCGCCAAGGCGCCGGCAGTAGCAGCTCGCGAGGCTGCCCGGCGAGCGGGCTCGTGAGGGCCCAATCTCAATGAGCCGGGCTCGTCGGCAGGTTTGTTGGTGAAGCTGTCATCGCGATAGCTTCTTTCGCACAGCCTCGCACGGGGGCCAACTCTCCTAATTCCCGCTGTGCGGCGTTGTTAGGGCTAAGATAGCCCTAACTGCAGAAGCTGCCAAAGTGGCCTGCAAAATCGACCTTGCCCTAACGCAGCGCTAACAGCAGCTGCCAAGGAGGAATATTTACAGGGGAGAGTTGTTGACTTGGTAGGATGTATATATGTATGTATGTATATTTTTCGTCCGGGGGGCCGTGAGGCCCCAGAAGTCTCCTAAGGGAGCACAGGACGTGCTAAGCTACGGGAGTCTACCTATGAATTAACCATACAGTATCCCCTATCCAGCATATCATCGGCACAAATGGCGCATTACATCGAGCCTATTACCCGTCAGCGGGTGGTCCAGGCACGGCTAGTAAACAGTAGCCGCGGGGCAGCTTATGACTAGGACAGTCATAGCGGGGGGCCATGGTTGCCGATAGCCACAGTCGGATGGAGAGCGTTGCGACTCTCTATCTGGCCGAGCCAAGATAATAGAAAGAGGTAATAAAGGAATATAAGAGAAGATAAAGGAGGGAGCGGACGTTAGTACGTCTCGAGTCGGTCTCGTTTAATAGCGAGGGCAGATCGTATTAAAGAAGGCGCTTATCTTGGCCAACTTAACGAACCTATCAAAGTCTTTTCCTAATGCTAGATTCACTGCCGTGTTTAGCGAGGGAGCGAGCCTCGCTCGATGCCGTAGCGGTACCTTTCTACAGTAGAAGATATAGTCAGGTGATTTACGTCGGTTACATGAGCAGACCACTCATGCTTCGCTATAGTTAAACCTCTCGTAGTATACGGCAAAATCCCCGTGGAGGGATCTCGCTGCCAGCAGATGGTATAAGGCTGCCCGCGGGAGCGATAGCTCTGGCGGGCAAGCCACTATCGCCTTGAGATTCAATCTCTTATACTGCTCAGGGGAGGCAGAAGACCACCAGGATCCAAATGCTTCCTTCGGTTTCTATCTTACGAGTCTTCGCAAGTAGGCCAGCATTGGCCCAGCGCCCTCGGGCTCGGGCAGCGAGGATACTACTTTTGCTAGTTTATCCGCTTATTCGTTGCCGGGGACATTAGTATGGCCTAGTACCCAGCGCACCCTTGTGGCACCATAAGACGCTGCCAAGGCCTAGAACTCGAGGAAGACCTCCTAGGAGGAGTCTAATAGTATGCCTCGCAGGCATATAGCAGCAGCGAGGTTATCTAGGCAGATAAAGATATCTTAAGTTACTAATTCTTGCAGATTCAGGGCAGCCTTAAAGCCCTCTAATGCTCCCGCTGCTTCGGCATCAAAGACCTCGGCCGGTCTAAGTCGACCAGATCCATCGAGGATAGGGATATTATTCTAGTGGATAATAAAGCCATAGCTCGCAGCTCCTTCCGAGGATAGAGAGCCATCCGAGTATACAACCAAGGTATGCGAGTCAAGTGACTCGACCTAGCGAGAGAAGGTATTAGCCGATTGCTCTTTCGACGCTATCTGCAGCGGCGCTATCTATTCTTAATGGAAGCATCGCTAAATAAGCTTTAGCCGCGTATAGGGTGCAAGAAGTTCGTCTATGCGACGGAGACGTATCCTAAAGCCGCTATCTACCTATACTTAATATTTTCGTTTAATGAGGTTATAGTAAGTAGGTTGGCTAGGCGGGCGCGTCCGACTCGCCAGAGGGTAAGCCTTAAAATACTTCGAACACCCGTTAAGTTGCCAAGGCA